GCACAGAGCTGTACACTATTTCCAAGAAACCAGTTGATGCTGGCAGTCCAGCTCAGCAGGCTGAGCAATGCTTTCTCCTCTCTATCCCTATTCCCAGCCTTTGAATTCAGGTGTGAAGTCATATCAGCTTCTACCTAGGAATGCCACATTCACAGCCTTGGGCTTCTGAGGACAGAGTATGGAGACAGCAGTGATAACTCCCAAGGTCCCCTCGGATCCGATGAAGAGCTGCTTGAGGTCATAGCCCGTGTTATCTTTGCGCAGAGAGGTCAGGCAGTCCAGAGCTGAGCCATCAGCCAGCACCTGTGGGAACAGGGGCCCAGTCAGAGCACCTGCCTAGGAAGCTGCTGCCTTTGGGAATGAACTCATCACCAAGCTGATGGAAGTGTCACAGTGTCACTCCCCTTGAGCACGTGACACAGTTGCAGCCCATTCCCACACTGCCCCTCCATTCCCAGCTCTTCCCCCTCTCTATATCCTACCCCAGTAGGATAGAGTAGGTATTTCCTTCCTACTTCTCTCCTTCCATCAGGAGAAGTAATAGCAAAAGATCCACTTAGCTCTGCTTTTCATACTAATGGTGGAGAAGACCAGTCATTCTCTGCAGCCCTAGCTCCCACTATCCAGCAGAAAAGGAAAGCTACTTGAAACAGTGAACAGTTAAGCAGAATGAAGTAAACCCTCTGCCACTTGAGCCTTAAATTAAGGCTGAGTATCTCCAAGACAGGTTATTAAAGGCTTTTTGACATTAGAGCCAAACTGACCTCAGACAAATGCTCTCCTTTCTAAGTCTACACAGTAAAACAAAGCCATGCTTTTGTTCCCTGCCCAAATTTTGTCCCCAGCCATGAAAACTTTTAGAACTCTTAATCCAGCCTTTACATCCCAAGGCACTCGCCTGTAGGACAGGAGCAGCTGAGGAACAGCAGAGACTCTAGGACACAGCCAAATGAACCCAAAGGAGACAGCTCTGTTATGGGGTGGGCTTTAAACCCTAATCTTCAAAGTCCCATCCAACACAAACCAGTTTGTGATCCTATGAATTTATTAAAATCCGAGTGAGCAGCCAGTAGAAGAGAGTGGTGCAGGATGGATTTAGCAGAGTGTTCCAGAGACCCTCTGCTCAGAGGAACCAACTCCATGCAGATAACCTGGGACGGCCCAACCTCTCCCTACCTTCTTTTCACTTATCTGGATTAGAAAACCACCTAACACCACCTCTGTCAGCAAGCAGTGGAAGTCAGGAAGCTGGAAACTGCAGCAGCAATAACATGCTACAAGCATGAAGATGTGCTGACCCTTCTCAAAAGAGCCCAACAAGGAAAAGATAAAGAGTGGAAGCCTGGAGAGGAACCTGGCAGTGTGCTGGGCAGTCAGAAGAGCAGGAAGCAGTGCAGCAGAGGATTATACAAGAAGGGAACTGCCAGGTACTCGCCTTACCACTTCCAGGCCCAGCACGGTCCCTCGCAGAGAGCCGTACCTCAGGAGCCGCAGGCCCCCGGCGTTGGTGGCCACGTTGCCCCCGATGTGGCAGCTGCCCTTGGCTCCCAGGTCGAGTGGCATGATGAAGCCCTGCTCCTCCAGGTACTCACTGAGCCTCTCCAACACACAGCCTGCCTGGCACACAAGGATTCCTGCAACACAAACACCATGCTACAAGCTGATGGCCAAGAAGAAGGTGCCTCCTCAAGAAGCAGGAGCAGTTTGAGCAGATACAAGCACCACTTTCTTCAAAACTTCCTGGGATTCGGTTTAAATGCAGAAATCTGTGCATGTTCCAGGGAGCTGCCCCCTCCTCAAGCCTCAGGGAGCTTTGCTATTGCCTCAATATCTCATCACCCACAGCTGTAGACTGGTAAAACATAGTCACATTAAATGTGTCTCTGCCTATTGTTCTCCCTCTCTGAACAGAGATACTCACACCAGCCTGATCCCCCAAATCCAAACAAACCTCCTTATGATGCTGCTGGGCTGAACCCCGCTGATCCTGCTGCTATCTGTTCCCAGGAAAATGCCTGGTTTGTGGCCTGGGGCTCATTTCTGTGCTTCACATCCCTGGAATATTTACCAGACACCTTGTCAAAGCTGATGATCTGGTTCATGAGAGCAGTGGAGAGAATGATCTCGTCAAAGACAGGAACGCTGCCCCCAACAAGGCCTGTGTTGCCCCCCTGAGGGTTCACTGCCAGGTTCCTCTCATGGCAGTACCTGGAAGGAAGAAGTTCTCTGAATTTTTATGCATTTAAAAGCCACAATCAGTCTGTCAGAGAAGCTTCATCTCTACATGAATGTCGACTGTTGTGACAGTGCTTCTTAAAATTAAGCAGCATTTCACTGAAAGAATAAATTGATGGAAGGAGAGAGTTTCAATGACAAAGTGAGAAAGAGCAATTTCTGTCTGAACTCAGCCTAGGGCTGAGCAAAGAACCAACACTTGAGGTTAGACCCCTACACATGTGGCACACATCATCTGCCTGGAAAGCACTGCTTATGTTTCTACAGCAATCTGTTCTAACAGCTTGGGCTCCCCAGTGGGCTCTGTCAGCCATCCTCTGGCAGTGCTTTCAGATATGAGTGCCCTCCTCCTCCCAAGAAATTCATGTCCTGTAGGCAACAAAACGTGCACCTGTGCCTCAGCTGCTGCACTTGCCACATCCCTGCCAAGCAGCACCCACCACATCCCCCCTGAGCTCACAGCAGCTCCTGCACAAGGGATGGCACACAGCCCATGGCACCAGAGCTCCCTCAGAAGCCCTGCCTGCCTTTCCTGTGCCCTGCATCCCTGTTTGAACAGAGCCAGGAGCACGTTCCTGCAGCTGTCAGCTCCTCAGCCAAACAGTGACCTGGCACAGCACTGCCCAACCAGAGCTGTGCTCACACCAGCGTGGATAAAACAGACCCTCAAACTGCCCTAACCTTCTTCACCTTCTCAAACAGACCCTCCTGAATCTTTCACAAAACTGCTCTTTCCTGAGTACCTGTATAATACCTAATTTCAGCCAGTTATCAGAGCAGAAAAGTCATGAAGAAAACGAACTCAGCAAGTCCAGTGCTTAAGGAATTGGTGTCTGAACACCTACAAGCTGCCTTCAGGTGCTGGATCATCCCTGACTCGACCCAAGTCTCCTCAACACCAAGCCCAGCAGAAAAGGTGTGTGTTACCTGAGAATCTGAGACACCTCTGCTGTGGTCTGGGGCTTCAACACCAGCTGGCTGCAGCCTGCAATGAAAGCAAGGGACTCTCAAGGCAAGCTGTGGCTCTGCAGAGGTCAGAAAGAAACAGGGGGGAAAGGATGAGGTGGGAAATAACAATGCTCCCTCCACTGTTAGGCATTTCAACCACTTTGACAACAAACATTTCAACAGCAGCCTTTCCCTTTAAGCCCTGCAAAAAACTTTGCATGTATAGGCAGACTTGGGTGCCAATGGAGGCAATGGGAAACAGTTTAAATTCTCATTAAATCTTTGAGAGAAGGAACAGAGAATTCACAATGCTTGATTTAGAAACACAGAATCACAGGATGATTTGGGTTGGAAAGGACCTAAAAGTTGATCTCATTCCATGGGCAGGGACACCTTCCACTAGCCCAGGTTGCTCCAAGCCCTGTCCAACCTGGCCTTGGACACTTCCAGGGATCCAGAGGCAGTCACAGCTTCTCTGGGCACCCTGTGCCAGGGCCTCAGCACCCTCCCAGGGAAGAATTTCTTTCCAATATCCCATCTATCCCTGCCCTCTGGCAGTGGGAAGCCATTCCCCCTTGTCCTGCCACTCCAGGCCCACATAAAGTCTCTCTCCCTCCTTTTTATAAGCCCCATTAAGGTACTGGAAGGCTGCAATCAAGTCTCCCAAAAGCTTTCATATTCTGTTGTGAGGTTCAATCAAAACTGTTAGCTGAATCAATTTGTCTCAGGAAAAAATTAAGTTAGAGGGTTTAGATTTTTTTTTATTTTTGAGAAAGCCTCTAAGTTTTCCAGCTATCAGGCAATTCTTAAAGGAATAATTTTATGAGAAAAACTAATTTTGGATGGGGAGGCACACATCTGTTCTCTGGTGACCAGTGACAGGACCCGAGGGAACAGCTGGAGCTGTGCCAGGAAAGGGTTAGGGCGGGTATCAGGGAAAGGTTCTTACTCCAGAGAAGGCTCCCCAGGGAATGGGCACGGCCCCAGGGCTGCCAGAGCCGCAGCAGCATTTGGACAATGCTCCCAGGCACAGGGTGGGATTGTCGGGGTGTCCGTGCAGGACCAGGAGTTGGACTCCATAATCCTCATGGGTCCCTTCCAACTCTACGGCCTGTACAGACGCGATCCGCCATTAATAAAGAAAAGCTTTCCTTTGGCAAACTCCTTGTTTCGGTAATTAACGGAGGCAGGAAGGAGGTTTCACCGCGCAGCTCGCTTACCTCGCACCGACTTGAGCCAGTCCACATTAAATGGCTTCACCTCCTCCTCGCCGGTGACCACCCTGCCGGGCATGAGGCGCTCGAAGAAAGCCACATCGCCATCCGCCAGCCGGCCGAAGGGCAGCCTCCGCACCGCGTACCGCTCGCAGGTCGGCACCACCTCCCGGGAGCCAGCACAGCCCCTGGCCCGGGCCACACCGGGGAGCTCCCGGTTCCCTCGGCAGCTCCTGAGCCAGGCGGCCCCGCGGCGCCACACGACTGCGGCAGCCATGGGCAAAAACCGCGGCTTCGCTCCGTGAGGGCGGCTCTTCCGCTGCTCCCACCGCGACACGCGGCCTTCTCAGTGTGGTCTACCGCGGGCCGGGAGGGAAAACTCAGGATTATCCCGGTAAAACGGAAGATTCCAAGGACGCTCCGGGGCCTGGAAGCGGCGGGGACGCGCCGCTCGCCTCACTCCGAGCCGCCAGGGGGCGCTGCCGCCCGCCGCGATGAGCGCGAATGCGCTCAGCGCGGGCGGGCGGCAGCGCCCCCTGGCGGCCGGAGGTTGCAACAGCACCCCCTGACATTTCTTCCCCCCCAAAAAACCCCCCTCACACATTTATTCCCAAAAATACTTTATTTATAATATAATCCAACATCTCCAAGATCCAAAAATACAGATATACATTTTTTTTCTTTTAAACATTACATTCCTTAATTTTTTTTTTTTTTCGGGAATTGGGTGAAAGTCGGTATGGACCTCCAGTTTGGATGAGCTGCAGTAAAGCTGGGCCCCCCCTCTTTGTGTGGGTTTTTTTTTTTTTGGGGTTATGTTTAGTGGGATATTCCTTTAGGGATCACCCTTTTGTAGGAAATATTTTAACACTGTACATTCAAAAGTCAGAAGATTTAAATCTTTTAGTAAGCAAAAATGAAGGCTGCTGGTATTTCTGTCTACAAGGAGTCGTAAAAATTCTCTACGACCAGGTGTAAGAGGGCAGGAGATGCTCCTGAGCCCATCCAAGCCCTGAACTGGCATGTTCCCAATGGGAGAGTTTATTGCTGGTATCAGATCTCAGATGCTTTACACATCACAGGTGTTGTAAAGAACAGAATGTTTTACCTCCCACTATTCATCATTCCTAGCAAATTATCCTTCCTTTCGAGGGATCTACCTTCCAGAGCTTGTTTTCCTTTTTGCTTTGCTGGTTCAAGAAGAAAATGCTCTTCAAAGCCCCAAAAGTACTATTAGAAATGTGGTTTTTTTTATCCTACCTGACCAGAATTTTAGAGCTGAGGGAAGTCAGCTCCACACTGGCTCACCCAGAGCTGCTCTCCCCTCATGGCACATTTCCAACAAGATCTCCAGAGTGGAATTCTGAGGTTGTTTCCTATCAAATGCTTAATCCACAGCAATGCCAGTACCAACAAAGCTTAGGAAAATTAGGAAGAGAAGCTGCCTACAATACCATTGGGTGGGAGGGGAAAACAAACCCTGGGACAGCATCAGGGACTGGATTACAGGCTGGCTCATGAGGTACCACAAATTTGCTCTCAAGAAGAGGCAGGAAGAAGAAGAGGGCTCACTGAACTCCAGGTTTTTGTGACTGCTGTTCCTCCTCCTTCCATCCAGAACTCTGGCTTTAATTTCCCTGCCTGCTGTTGTCCATGTACTGCTCTGAGGCAGCAATGACAAATGTGTATCACAAATGTGCATTTACATGCACACAACTGTGGGAACTTCATCTCTCTGTGATGCAATGCAGTAAAGACACCTGCAACATCACACTGGAAATGACAGCACCCTGAAGACAGGGATTTCTTCCTAAAATCCACCCTTTTTTCCTGCCATAAATCAATATTCATGGAAAAGCTGCCTCACAATTGAGAGGTCTGTTCTATGTCAGCAGCAGGCAGAAAGCCCCACAGAGGGAAGGAGAGGTGGCAGGAGCTGTGTTCTACTTTCCTTCATTGCAAAACAAGAGTAAGAGGCTCAGTGTAACAGGAAAAGCCACCTTTCTTTTGAAAACAGGTGCCAGAATCTGAGCAGAAGTGTTTTTAATCTTCTGTACTGTTTTTTCAACAGAAGAAAAGTTTATCTGGGAGTTTCTCGATGCCTTCCCAGCAGTCTGTACCAAGAGCTCCTGCACACTGGTATGGGAAGCAGCACACAGCCCTGCACAGAGCTGCCACCAACACCCACTGGGAACCAGAGCCAGCAAAGTCCTTGAGTTTGGGGCTTTTTTTCCTCCTTTCACCAGCAGGAAGGAAGCCTGGAACACCTTTCCCCACTACATCTTTCACTGAAGGCAGGGAAGCCTCATGATGCAGGAGACAGATATAAAAGCAAGAGTTTGCTCTTCCCTCAACTTCTGTATCTCAGAGGAAGAAAAAGACAGATTTTTGCTGTCCAGCTCCTGAGTTCCTCCCTCTCTTCTGCTGCAGCCACTGACACTGTGCTAATGCAAGGGTTCACATTCATCATCTGAAAGGCAGCTAGAGAAGTCAAGAACATGCTAATGTGGCCAATTAAAAAAAGACAAGAAGTTCTGCTAGAACATTCCTGATGGCCTTCTTCAACAGCAGAGCCACACCATCATGGGAACAAACAAAAAATATCCTCATGGAGCCTTTCCCTAAAACCTGATTTACCCATGTGCCACACAGGCAATCACAGCCAACAATTCAGGCCTTCATCTTATTTGGTGAATAAATCCGACCTTCTCTCTCCAAGAATACTGCAGGTTTCATCTTCACAGTGATGTACTTAAAGAATCTTCAGGGAAATGGAAACAGCCAGAAAAGGCAACACCCTCCCTCAGTATTATTGTGCAAGACTAACATAAATAAAATCTCCGTGGCAAAGGGATTTGGGACTCCCTCCCAAAGTCACTGTCTTAGGAAAGAACAGGAATTTCAACTGGCCACTGGATAATTAAATATCATACCAGAAAAAGATGGAGGATAGACTAACAAAAAATAATCAAAGGTAATATTGCAACATGAATGTAGGAATATATTAAATTCTTCTTGCCTCGGCGGTGTATCCCTCTCTACTGCTTACTTCTTTTTCTTTCTTTCCTGAACACAACGAGGACAAAACCTGTAGGAAAACAAAAAAGAGGCAGTAATTAGCTCCTGAAATTACCAGCACAGAGCCTGAGAACTGTTTTTAACATTTGGGCACAATTAAGCCTGTTTCTGACTGACAATTGGTAATTTTAAAACAGTCCATCAGATAAAAATAACAAGCTCACAATTCTTTCCAAGATGAGCACAGAGTAAAACCCTGACAAGTCTTCAAAATTTGCCTCCAGAAGTGAAACAAAGAGGTGCCTAGGTCTGTTTTAAGCACAGCCACAACTAGTGACAATGGAGCAAACATTGTCAAATGAAACATGTCCCTGTTTACACAAGCCTCAGGTCAAAACCTGCTCTGTTTATCAGGCAGTTTTGCTCCCATCAGTACCTAAGACTTCTGTGGAAATGATTTTTTTAACAAGAAGATTCATCTTGTATCTTCTACCCTCAAATTAATCCCCAATCACAGAGGATGCAAACTGTCAGGGTCACAGCAGGGTTTTAATTCTTGCTGAGGCAAACTGCAGCCTGATAAAAACCCCAAAGCTGAATGCTGTCACACTCACCATTTCCCTTTTGGTTTGGTGGTCAGGTCCACACATGCAAAGTGGAACCACTCGATTGGGCACTGCAAAAGAGAAAGGAAAAACCCACAGAGGAGATTCTTAGTGGCTCACAAACATTCCCATCATTTGGTATGAGCTAACTGAGAAAGGACCCCCTCCTTGGGCTGTACAGGGTTGGGAGGCAACAAACACCTGAAAATCAATAATCTCTCAAGTGCTTACATCTGGGTTGTCACAGCCAATCATCTCTCCATAGGACACCTGGTGACACAGGCAGTAGGTGGGCTCGTTGGGATCCACTGGCATGTCCAGGACATCTGAGGGATGCACTGACAGGATGGTATCAGCAAACTCAGAGCTGTGGGCAAGGACAGAGTCAGGACAAAACACTTCTCAAATGCAGACAGCACTGTGTACAAGGGCATGGCTCCCCACTGCCAGAGGGAAGGGTTAGATGGGATACTGGGAGGAAATTCTTCTCTGTGAGGGTAGGGAAGCCCTGGCACAGGTTGCCTGGAAAAGCTGTGCCTCCCCATTGCTAAAGTGTTCATGGCCAGCCTTGGAACAACCCAGGCTAGTGGAAGGTGCCCCTGCCCACTGCAGGGGATGGTCTTTAAGGTCCCTCCAAACCCAAACCATTCTGGGATTTGGTGTTTCCAAGATCCAAATCCTACTTGGGAAAATTAGTGTTTTACAGTATCTTCCCTAAACCACACTGAGCCTGTTTTAGAGTTTGTATTACATTACCAGTAATTAAAATCATACGGCAGGTTGGATCAAACACAGTATGACTGGAAAGAATTAAGAGAGGGATTTGTAGCTGTCATGAGTAAAGTAACAAATTATCATACAGATCACTCCTGGCTGTGGGTACAATAACCTCTTTGGGGTTTTTCCCAACCTGTTTCAATACAGATTTTTTCTCATTGTCAGGCATGAGTGAACCCTCTTACCCTGACAGGGATGTGCTGACATGCCAGTAGCAGTCCATAGAAACTACTTTAGTTTCCTGCCACCTGAAAATAGCATAATAAACCGAGCCCCTTTCATATAAATCCCATCTCAGAGAGGGGACAAGCTTTCCTCCTTGCCTCTCAAAACCAAATCAGATTATTCAAGGCTACCTAGGACACAATTCTGTGAAAACAACCCCCCAAAATTCTCCAAGATTTCTAGAACAGCAGCACAACATCAGTTTCTGTCCTGATGGCAAAGTAAATTTCTTTTACCATCAAGACCACAAGCAACTGTTAAAAATAGCCCTGTGACAAAAATCAAAGCTATTTTCTCCCAGCTTGCCAACAGCAACAGGATCTTGTCCTTCCAGTCAGTGTTCCAAGCATGCTGAGCTTCCACATGCCAACCAAGGAGTTAATTAACAATGCTGGCCTGTCCTAAGCAGGACATTAATGAAATGGTGTAAGACCAGAGCACTCCTAACACTGCTCTCCATCTGGACATGAGTCATAAACAGGGTAATATGAGCCTGTGGAAAATTCATCAAGTGTCACCACCAAGGCCCTGGAGTTGTGCCTGGCTCTGCCTTACCCTCCTTTGAGCTTCTTTTTCTTTGGTGTATCTTCTTCAGATGTTCTCCTGCCTCGACCACGGGAGCTTCTTTTGTCTTTCTGACTTCGTCCCTCTAGAAAGGAAAAACAAAACTTCAGCCTATCTGAGTGGCAGAAACATCCCCAGCTGTTCTTTTGATGCAGTTACTGGCTTCAAATCCCTATTTCATATGCAACTGAGTAATCCTTATTATATATGTAATTGAATATGCCGACTGAAATGCATTTGTAAGCCACAAGTACACCAAATTAATAACAACTGAGCACCAAACTCTTGTGTTTGTAGTTTTGGCAACAAAGCACTGCAGTGTGTCATAAACAGCATCACACTTGATTAGACATGCAGTATTTTTTTTTCATCTCAGTGTATTTTAAAGCACATTTAATAGATTACTCAATAACTAACATAACTTTTATCCCCACCTCCTTGCTCCTGCCCCTTATTTCATTGTTCAAAGGCATAAAGCTGTGCTGCACTGCTGCTTTTAATTTTAAATCTTCTTTTGATTCCTAATTTCTCCCAAAACTAAGGCTGTTATAGCAGTGCAGTTTTGGCACAGCACCCTCCTTAGAACCAGTTACAAGCTCAGGATGAAACAGTGATGGTAAATTTAATCCCAGCACCACATTTCTCTTCATCTCTTGCCCACTGTAAGAGCATTAAAAACAAACAGAATGACACATTTCTTTCCTTCCTCCAGAAATAATAGCCTATTTTACATCTCAGCCTTCCTTCTTTGATACTCTAAGTGCTGGAAAAGGCTGCCAACTGTGTAAAATTCACCCACTTTTCAGGCTCCTGGATGCAGGGGTTTCAAAGTCGCTGCCTTCCAGTTTATCTTTGAGATCAGCTTCAAAGCGCGCCAGGTCCGCATCCAGCCGGCGGATGTGCTTATCCACCTGCCCCGAGAGGAAACCACAAACTGAACTGCAAAGAAACACCCAAAAAAAAGAAAAAAAGAGCCCCAGACAAAAACAGGAAGGGCTCAAACTTGGCTGTTATCAGCAGGAGCAGTGTGGTGGTGCAGAGTGAGGCAGGAAAGGGGTATGGGGTGGGGAAAGGGAAATGGCACACACAGAGGGAATGAGGAGGAAAAGCACAAGGATCCAACCCCTCCACAAGCAGGCAGAAAGGAAGAAGGGAGGCAACAGACACTCAAAGCAACTCAAAGTAATGATTTTCAGAACAAAACAAGATGAGAGATACTAAAAAAATGGTTTTGTCCCTGCAATTTTCAAAATTGAAAGGCAGTCCTTGAAATGTGTCGAGCCGAGCAGTTTGGGTTTTTCCCAGGGTACTCCACTGTCACGTGAATCAAAGTTTAACAACAAATACAGACAGAGGCTGGCTATCCTCAGTATCAACTCAACACACACTAATTAAGTACCTGGAACTACCCTGGCTGCAATAAAGTGACTTTCAGAACAGGGATTTCAAGCCACCCCCACAAACTGTGCTGCTACAATAGTTTGTCATTAAATGAGTGCATTAATTATCAGGGCATTAATATCCTGGGACATCATTTCCTTTTTTGCAGTGTTTGATGGCAGCCAAACACCTACTGCAGCTGTAGCAAAACTCAAAGCATCTTTGCAAGCTGGACAGCAAACATTTAGTACAGTCAAAAGGATTCCCCTCACTCAACTTTCATCCAGGGGGTAAAACAAGTGGAGATAAGAAATATTCAAGGGATAGAAGGGAAAAAAAAAAAAAGTGGAAATCTGCATCTTAAGAAATGGGATTTTCTCCCAAGGTCTATAGAGGAAATTTTCAGGTCCAATAAACCCAGGCAACTGAGCAGAATTCCTGCTGTTCCTCCACAACACAGCACAGCAACTGGCTTAAAAAAAAACCAATTTGCTTTCAACTAAGTGTGCCCCAAATAAATTATCAGTGACAGAGAGCTGCTGGGGAGGAGGGAGTGGGGGAAATTTGCTAGCATTATCACACAGCAGACGAGTACTGCTGATAAAGCCACCTCCAAGGGGGGGGGGTAAACTCACTAATTCTTCAGCAAAAGAGAAACCTGGTGCCAAAGGAGAAAGCTTTTTGGGGATGGCAACAGAGAGAAACAAACTTGAGGACTAAATTTCTTTTGGTAAGAAATTTAAGTCAAAAAGAAGAAAAAGTGAAGGGAAGCTGACACTGTGAAGCATCTCCACGTGTAGCATTCCAGAGGATGCCCATTTTTCCATGGCTCACCATCTCATAGGTCTGCATGGCCAGCTGTACTTTGTCATCACTGTACTCCTTGCACTTGCTGTAGGCACTCTGGATCTTCCTCAGGTGCTCCACCCTCTCCTCAGGTACCATGTTCTTCACAGACTCAATGTATGCTGCTGCCAGGCTGTCAATCTCTGCTTTCTTGTCTGGAGAAAAGAAAAAAAATCTTTTTTTTTTTTTGGTTTTTTATTTCCATTTAGGAGACCCTTCCTGGCAGCTGTTATGCTCCCCTCAATTCCTTAATGCATTTTCTTTTTTAAAAACAAAACCTGTTAAGTTAAAGGTGTTCACTGTTTGTCACTTGTGGTGTGATTCTGCTTTCTCAAGTGTTCTACAGCTAATTCAGAAGTTAATTTACAGTTAATTCACAGTTAAGATCATGACCTGAACCCATGGGTTCACAAGTTTCAGCCTCTCTTCCCACATACAGAACATTTTACTTGTTGGGCTGTCACTTACTGCTCTGATGGCTCAAAATTAAAATAATTAGTGTGCAGCCAGACACCAAAAAAAACTTCAAAAAGCAAGAAAAATCATCCTGCAAGGCACAGAGGAATCTAGAACTTGTTAGATATGGGAACAGGTGGAAGGAAGGCCACTGAATAGAGTGATCACAGAGCTATGAATTTAAATTGGAAACAAAATCAAGCCCTGCCATGTGAGCTGCATCCTCAGAGGAAAGAGGCAAACACTGCAGAGCACTCAGCCTGAGAGAAGGAACAGCCACGGCCTCTAAAGCCCGGCCTCCAGGGGGCTCTCCCGGCTCTGCTTGCCGGAACACCTGCACGTACCTTCCGTCCTCTGATCCAGCTCCCGCATCAGCTGGAAGTTCCTCTGCAGCTCGCACGGCAGATTCTCAATACCTACAATAAAAATGCTGCTAAATGCTCTGAGCAACCTTATCAACAGAATGTGTCCCTGCCTACGGCAGGGGCTGGAACGAGATGAGTTCTAAATCAAACCAACCAACCCAACCCAACCAAACCCAGCCTGCGAGTCACGCACCGTGAGCCGCCCGCTCACCTCAGCAGACTTTGAGCACCTGGCTGGGTTTTGGAACCACCCAGAACCACGGCCCAGGGGGGCAGCGGGGCCGTGAGCAGAGGAAAGGGACGGGAGCGGGGCCCCGAGCAGCGGCAGAGGACAGGAGCGAGATTCAGAGCAGAGAGAGGGGACGGGAGCGGGACTCCCAGCAAAGAGAGGAGACGGGAGCGAGATCCCGAGCGGAGGGAGGGGACGGGAGCGGGACCGAAGGCAGAGAGAGGAGAACAAGCGGGACCCCGAGCAGAGGGAGGAGACGGGAGCAGGACCCAAGGCATAGGGAAAGGACAGGAACGGGCCCCGAGCGGAGGGAGGGAACAGGAGCGGGATCCAGAGCAGAGAGACGGGACAAGAGCGGGACCCTGAGCAGAAGGAGGGGACAGGAAGAGGATCCAGAGCAGAGAGAAGGGACAGGAGCAAAACCCCCGCCCCGCTGACCCTCACAGCCGCCATGGCTTCACTCCCACTCCCCAGCGCACACCGCTGACGTAGCCCGGCGCCGGCTGATGACGCAATCACCGTGCCGCGCCCCCCCCGCCCCCCACTCCCCCGCGCTGCCCATGGCGCAGTTTTAATTCCCGCGCTGCCGCCGCCGCCGCCCCCGCCCCGATCCCGCCGCCCCCGCCCCGTTCCCCGTCCCGGCCCCTCCGCCGCCCCCGCCCCGCGCTCACTGTCCAGGTAGTGCTCCAGGTACATGGCAGTCGCCATCTTGCGGCCCGCGCGCCGCTCCCCGCCGCCCGCCGGGCCCGCATGACAAGGCCCGCGGCCTCATCCCGTATTCACGGCCCGCCCGCCTCCCATTGGCCACCGCCGCCGCCGGCAGCGCTGCATATTCATGAGGGGCGGGGCGGCCGGCGATTGGCGGGCGCGGCGGAAGGGGCGGGGCCGGCAGGCGGCGATGGCGGCACGGCGCGGGGCGCTGATCGCGCTGGAGGGCGTGGATCGGGCCGGGAAGAGCACGCAGGGCCGGCGGCTCGTGGAGGCCCTCCGGGAGGCCGGGCACCCCGCCGACCTCCTCCGCTTCCCGGGTACGGTGCTGGGGAGGGAAGGAGCGGGGGCCGGCCGGAGGAGCTTCCTGCGCGCCCAAACTCTGCGCGGGCCCGCGTTTGAACGGAGGGACCGCCCCAGCCCTGAGCTATAGAGCCCTCCCACCCTAGACAGACCGACCGCCTCCCACCGGACAGATGGACTCCCACAGCCCGGACAGAGCCATGGGAGGCTAGACTCGTCTCGGACAGACAGACAGAGCCCCGGGCGGATAGACTGCTCCCGTCCCGGACAGACAGACGGACAGACGCTCATCCCGGATGGACCGAGCTCCTCTCCCCCAGCCTGTCACAGGCAGGTCGATCCAGCCCCTTATGGACCGACCTTCTCCCACCGTGGCAAATAAACATCCCCCTCACCCTGGACAGACCTCCTGTCACCTGTGATGGACAGACAGACTGATCTCAGCTCATCCACGACTGACAGACTGACCCTGCCCTGCTGAGAACAACCTCCCACCCGTGACAGACAGACTCCCCTGGACAGACACCTCTCTGCGAAGAGCAGTTTGGGGCAGCCTTTGCGTGTTCTGTGTTTCCTGCAGACAGAACGACAGAGATTGGGCAGCTGATCAGCTCCTACCTGGGCAGAGAGAAGAACCTGGAGGACCACACCATCCACCTGCTCTTCTCTGCCAACCGCTGGGAGCACGTGTAACGTCATGTTTGCTCACTTGGGAGAGAAAAATGGCTGGGGTGGGCTCCCACGGGCTTTGAGCTTGCAGTGGGCACAGGAAGTACAAGAATGTGATTCTGTTCAGACAGGGGAACAGGCTGGAAATGGGGTCTTAAGGACTCAGATTTAATCACAGGATGGTTTGGGTTGGGAGGGACCTTAAAGCCCAGCCAGTGCCACCCCTGGCATGGACAGGGACACCTTCCACTGTCCCAGGCTGCTCCAAGCCCTGTCCAGCCTGGCCTTGGACACTTCCAGGAATCCAGGGACAGCCACAGCTTCTCTGGGCACCCTGTGCCAGGGCCTCCCCACCCTCACAGTGAAAAATTTCTTCCTAATATCCCATCTAACCCTGCCCTTGTAATCTTAGATCAGATCCCACAGTTTGGGATTTTTTTTGGAATCATTGGTGCCATATTTCAAACTCCTGTGCTGTACTGGATTAAAACATTGGGCAGCTGAGACTGAACCAGTTCAGACTGTGAATTTATTCCCTTTCCTGAAGATAACCTTGCTTTGCCAGGCAGCCCCTGTGAGTGACAGTGCTTAAGGAATTGGCTGTCCTTGCTTTAGTCACAGAGCCTGTGTGTGGACGTGGGGAAATCACTGTTGGCTATTGTTTCTACCTGGAAATACAGATTCCAGAATGTTCTCATTTTACAGAAAAGCTTTGCTGGCTCTGCTGTAGTAGCAGTGCCAGTTAAGCAGAAGGCACAGAAGTGAGCTCTAAGAAGAAGTGTCATGAATAGAGGTGGCAGAGCATGTCACAAAATCTGCTGTACCACCTAAAAGGGCAAGAGGACTATCTGTCCATGTCAATATAGTTCATCTTTGATCTTGCCTGGAATCCCTGGAGCTGCCTAGAGCAGTGCCCAGTGCTGGCACCCTGAGTTTGGGCGTCATGAGGGGGTATTTGGTCAGTGCCTGGTGGGGAATACAAACATCTCTTCACCTGCCACCTGCATCACAGCTGACCTCCCTTAATGATGACATATTTGGAGTTTTAGATGAACTCCCTCCATTCCTGTCACCATAAAGGAGTGCAGCTTTGTTATTTTATCTCCCCATGGTTCCAGGCCGATGATGAAGGAGAAGCTGCAGCAGGGGATCACGGTGGTGGTTGACAGATATGCCTTCTCTGGAGTGGCCTTCACGAGTGCCAAAGGGGTGAGTGAGACCTGCAGCAGCCCCTGTCCCTCTCTTCCTTGGGGAAGCAGCCTCAGGCTGTTGGTGTGGATGGCCCAGGGGCTGTTCCTCTGGGAGGTGAGGGGTGGAAGGGTCAGCTCAGATTTTAACATGGGCCCACCCTTCCCCACAACAAGCAGAAAAACTTATTTGGTGACTTTTTGTAAGTCTGGACAGACTGCTGGACTGGAAGCTGACCTGTAGACTCTCTGTACTTGCTCAGGCTGCTGGCCCATCAATTTGTGGAACAGAACCACATACATTAGAAGGGACCTGTGGAACTCAGCCTCCAAGCAGGCTGCTTGGGCCTACATCCAGCCAAGGTCTGAGTATCTTCAGGGATGTAGATCCATTCCTTTCTGGGTTCTTCTCTGCTCACCTTCAGAGGAAAAGTGGTTTTCTTCATTTAGTCTGAATTTCTCACTTGTCCTTGCCAGGGCAGGGACACCTTCCACTATCCCAGGTTGCTCCAAGCCCTGTCCAGCCTGGCCTTGGACACTTCCAGGGATCCAGGGGCAGCAACAGCTTCTCTGGGCACCCTGTGCCAGGGCCTCAGCTCTCTCACAGGGAAGAATTTCTTCTCAATATCCCATCTAACCCTGCCCTTGTAATCTTAGATCAGATCCCACAGTTTGGGGTTTTTTTAAATCATTGGTGCCATATTTCCAACTCCTGTGCTGTACTGGATTAAAACATTGGGCAGCTGAGACTGAACCAGTTCAGCACCCTCAGAGGGAAGAATTTCTTCTCAATATCTTGGGAATTCCCACTTGTGCCTTTTGGCTTTCAGAACAAGTCAGCTCTGTCAGCCTCTCTTGGAGCCATTCTGCACAGACACTTGTCCCACTCCCTCAGAAGTGTCCTGTTCCTGCTGAGCAGCCACCAATCCTCTAGGAGTGGTCACAGAAGCTCCAGCCATGCCTGCAGCACCAGCTGTGACCTGCATTCATTCCTGCCCAAGCCTTTCTTGCTTCCTGGAGGGACTGAGGAGATCCTGGGCCCCCCAAGCCCTGCACCCTCACCTGCATCTTCACCCCCCTCCTGCTTGCCTGGACATTGTGTAGCTTGAGACAGATGCATTGAAGCATTTAGGTGCTAATTAGGTGTCTGCAAAAGCCCCAAATTAAGAGCCAGGATGTGTAACATGAGCTAATCACCCCAAAATAGTGATCCCAAATCCACATGGGCACAGCAAGGAATGCTCTGCTGCTTTCTGGTGGGGGAAAAAAAGGTGTCTTAAAGTGTTTGCATTTCTTTGAATGTAGCTGGTGAGCTGCAGGGCTCAGCCATGTGGATGCCACCTTTGGGAAGCAGGGATGGCATCCTTTGCTGCTGGAATGGGCCTCCTCTGCTTCTTATAAGACTGGAGTTTGGCATGTTTTTCACTCAAGAAGCATTTCCAGAAGGGGAGATGTTGATGGCCATACCTAAGACAAAAGTCTGCTGGCTGCCAGATCTCACACCCAAGATGTTGTGGCACTTTCAGCTTCTCTTACCCCCTCATGGGATTGAAAAACCCACTGCACATACATCCCAAAACTACCCAGATTACCAGGATACAGAACATCTGGGGAGAAACTGGAGGGGCAGATGTGCCAGCTCCTCCTAGAGGGATTTAAGATGTGGATGAGCAGTAAGTGGACTCTGTAGTCTCACCAACATCATGTATTCATTCATGGATTCCCTGGTGAAACTCTTCAGACCTGTCAGCAAAATCCAAAAGCTGGAAAACTGCATCTCTTGTGTCTGGGCTGAAATTCCTGGGGAGGTGAGTATTGGGAAGGAATTCCAGGGGCTCAGAGAGATCTGCATTGCAGCTGTGTGGTGTTTGTGTTTGGGAGCAGCTTTCTTCTGGACTGAGCAAGTTCTGGAGTGGCACTGGCTGTGTGGAGGCCCAGAACGTGCCTTGGTAGAGCTCAGATGGGATCTGCAGCAGAGGCACAAAAAGCTTCCACTCTCTCCAACTTGAATAAGCACAGGAGGTGCTGAACACCTGACAAAACCTGCTCACCCCCAGATGAGCTGAATTCCCACATGGCCAGCTGGGCTATCACCTGTGCACTTCATGGCCTGTGCTGAGTTTTGGGTTGCAATTCCTGCCATCCTTGGCAGTTCCTTCCCCACCTCACTCTCCAGCCAGCCTGCTGCTTTCCTGTCTCTGTGTCTCACCTCACACTCTCTTGTCCTTGCTTGGGGCAGAACTTTGGCCTGGACTGGTGCAAACAGCCTGATGTTGGGCTCCCAAAGCCAGACCTGATCCTGTTCCTCCAGTTAAACCCAGAAGCAGCAGCAGAACGAGGCAACTTTGGACAGGAACGTTATGAGACCAGCTCCTTCCAAAAGAAAGTTCTTCAGTGCTTCTATTCCCTCATGGAGGACAAGACCCTCAACTGGAAGGTGAGGAATTAACTCTAATGGGCTTGTCATGGACTGAGGGTCTCTAGTGAGAGCTCCCAAATTTTGCCTGTCACATCCCCGTACTGCCCCTTCCCACTTT